GTGCGCCTCGGCCGGGGCTGTCAAGTTGTCAGTTGTTGGGCTCACGAACAGAGCCAGCTATGACTGGGTGGATGACTTAAAAGCCCTGACAGGTGCACTCAGGCACGCACTTGCCGCATGCATACTCATACTCATACTCGTACTCGCATACCCGCTACTTTGTTGTGCTAATCCTATTGGCACGGTGTTGGTGTTGGCCAACTCCAACGGATACATTGTTGCCCCAGCCGGAGCAACACATGCCCCATTAATACCTACACGAACAGAAAAAAATGGTGCTTATCGGGGGGCCATGAAATTCTCTTTAAATCAAGTTACAGCTGAAAATGAGTTCTGATGGGTGGAGTAAACTCTGGTTCTTTAAAAAAATGTTTTAAATCCCGTCAAACTGTAAGTGAAATCGGAAAAAAATGTTGGTTGGCTTGCCAGAGAGATTTAAATTAATAAAATCAAAATATATTCGATCATGAGGTTGGTTTTTTTAAATCCCTCTGAAAAACATTGCTTATATAGCTCAAATCTATACAGATTTCAGTGACGTAACAATGAAATATAAATAATTTAATATTGATTTTAAACCTTTTTATTTGTTTTTGAATTTTTGATTAACTATTACCTAACTAAATTAATCACTAAAACCTATTGCTATAATCTATTGCAAGATATTACACCATCAAAAGGCTTCCTGCTTTTTCTCTGTAAAGCCGTAAATCACCTGCCTGCAATGGAGTTTTTAATACGTCTATCTAACTGGTGCACATTAATTGTCTCAAACTAGCCACACAATGGGTTCGGGGCAGCAAACACAGGCAACAGACTCCTTTTCCTTTTGCCCCTAATTGAAATCGATAAGTGGCGTGTCTTAATTAATACAAAGGAGGGTGCCCAGTGCCGGCAGCTTAAAGATTAATTATCCATTATATGCACACATCCTGATTGGGCCACACCAATCACCTGTCCTGTTCCCAGTGAACTGCATTCCCCAGTCAATGGCAAGTGCTGAATTCACTTAATTGCCGACACCTTTTCATTGCCGCTGGCCAACTTTGAGTTCGATGTGTATGTGTAGCCTGTATCCTGCATTCGTCTTCCTTTGGCGACACAATTAATTCGTCCTGCCAGGCATTGCAGTTTAATTTTTATTTCATTAACGTAACATCACCACCCCAAACCATACCCAATACCATACCCAATCCCAATCCCGAACCCGAACCCAACCACATCAAGGGCGTCCGTGCATCGCTAAGCGGCTTTGTCTCATTATCTCCCAGGTGCACGTAGTACATATGCGTTGTGGGTGGCAAATTGCGAGCAAATTAAGTGTTTCAATTCCGTTGAGATTTCCATTTCACGAAGAGTTCCCCCAACCATTCTGTTAAGCCCAGGATACGCAGCCTGCGAGCTGGTTTATAGTGCGTAACGCCATCAAAAATAGTTAACAGCATTGAAATGCTTTTAGCTAAAATGCGTTGCGAGTCCTGGCTATGCGTAAAAAGTTTTGTTTTCAACTCGCAGGACGTGGAAATGGGCCCTGGGTGTCCTGCATGTCTGCCGTAATGTGTGGCAAATAAAATTATTTTAGATTCCATACCCCCATCCAGGTGATAATATTAAACATCTTGGCTATGCTTAAATTCCGGCTGCCTCCACATTTTTACCACAAAAGTTTTAACTTTTCAGTGCCTTGTTTTTGTTCATTGCTGCCGACAAAAACACAAACTTTTATGAAAAATTGCAACGAGCGCAATAAATATTTGTTTGCTTATATAGAAAATATTTGTGTTAATATGCATACACTTTTTTTTGCCCATAAATTTCGTCAGCATAATATTCATAAAGCTCCTCTCGAAGACTTTTTTTTAATCAGCCGACGGCTTTTGAAGAGAGACTCACATGAGAATTTAAACACCTTTAACGGCGCCTGAAAAACTTCTGCCCAAAAGTTTAATACAACTTTTAGACGCAAATGGCTGAACTCATTTATAAATTACTTTATTAGGATGAACACTTTCTTTGAAGTTTCTGAAGTATATATTCCCATTTAAATCGCTTTCTTTATATTTTCACCTTATACAAATATTAACCAATATTTTTCTTTCTCCTATGAAAACAACTTGCATACTTTTATTAAAGTATGCAGAGGTAAAAACATTTTAATACAAATAGACCTCTTGCGATTCTTGTTTATTGTGGCTGGCACAAAACTTGTCATGCTTGTTTTCATTTGGCAAATATACATGCGAGTATTTTATTAAAAAATATTTTCTTAACATTATTATTGGCAAATAGCAAAGTCAAAAGGTGAATGAATAATACTTTACAAATGACACAGAAGCATCGTATATTTTTGTTCATTTTTATTCATTGCAAATATCAATTGTATTTATATTAAAGTAATTTTAGAACTTCTATTTGGTTCATCGATGTATGAGACTTTGAGACTTGTCTTTCTTAACTTAAATTGCTTAAAAGCCCTGTTTTAAAGGTACCGCCTTGTATTTGCTTACCCTGGGAAACGGCTTAGTGTCTTTAAAAATCTCGTTTCAGGCTGCGGCTGGAAGCCCTGCTCGGCTTTGTTCACTGGTAATTGCTTTTCCTTTCAGCCATTGTGTTGCCGGGATAAACGCATCCTCTTTCGCAGAGCGATTCCTTGTGGGTCGGCGAATTGGCAAATGCGCGAATGGGCGCAAGGTGACCACAAAAATTCAGGAAAACCGCAGGACATACGGGCAAACACAAAGGTGTTTGTCGAAGGACCTCCTCAATATATGTTTTTCTTTTTAACCAGGAGCTGCGCGTCGCGTTGCTGGCCAACTTCAAATCCAAACTGACCGCAAAACATTTGCACTTTGGACTTTATGCCAAGAAGGCGGCGAAAAGCAGAGTCCAAGTCGTCGGCAGCGACGTTAAATAATAACAATAAAAACCCAACCAAAGGCAGTAAAAGCCAAAAACGAATGCAAGTGGGGGGACGGGGAAAAGAGAAATTCCAAATCGAAATCCCAGTAAAAATCGCAGTGTTGCAAAAGAAATTATGGACGCGTTGTTGCTGCCGTTGTGCTAATTTGTGTTTGCGGCTTTCGCACATCAAACAGCAACAATCCAGTTGTTGTGGTTGTGGGTCAGCACGAAAAATGAAGTTGACCCGCTTTTCCGATACCAGGGCGGCGTGGAAAGTGTGGAAAATGTGGGGCAAAGGCAGCAGCGCCACTTCCGAGCAAATTTACATAGGCTCGGCCAAGAAATTATGCATGCCTCTGTTGATATTGAAATGCCGAGCAGGTTGAACTTTGAACCACACCACCCACCCACCTAGTAAAATGAAAAGCCAGGAAAAGCCTGGGAAAGCCAGAGGCGAGACTGCTTTCACTTTTTGGCCAGAATCGCCACTTGCAGGCGATAAACACATAAGGCAGGGTAAATAAACAAGGCGTGGCCGCGTAGACGTCGGCGTTTTTAGCCAAGTTAACAGCGACGTCAACGTTGGCAGAGGCGGCATGCAAATTGGACTGAGTACAAGAGTGTGTGTGTGTGTGCAACGTCTCAGGAAGTCGTTAGAGCGGGAAAGGACATGCCAAAGACCAAAGCGGCAACCTTTGTGGGTCAAAAGCAAAAAATAGAAACAAGAATTAGAAGGAAGTGTGCCACCACAAAGTCAAACGCAAAGCAAAAAAGCAGTGTCCCGCTTTTGACCACGAATAAATCAGTGAGCCAACAATGTACGGCGAGAACTTGGCACAAATCCATTAACATTAACACTCTCATTTTCGAAAGAGTCGCATGCAAACTTGGCCAACATGCCAAAGTCGAGCCCAAGACAAACGATTTGCTAGCTAAACAAAATGAACTTTTAATAAATTCATTACCCTGGCACTTTATGGCTACAGTTCTACCACACCCCCCACCCTCCTAATACCCAACCATCCTAGCCAGATTCGATGCACAATGCTTCACTGTAGTGCACTGGCTGACATTACGTATACGCCCCGTACATTTATGAACAATCAACTTTATGGCCCACAAGCAAGAGGAAAGGCTGTCTGTGTGTGTGTATGCACTAGTTTATATGTTTATATATGTTTTAGCCTCCCCGCGGCCCCCAAGCTGTGCTCTGTTTTATTGGCATTTGCACTTGTGTCTGACTTTTCCAAGATATTTTCAATTGGAAGTTATGTGTCGCAGGGAATTGTCCGCCCGGGTGGGTGGTATCTTATTGATGGGATGTGTGCAACACAACAATTTGATGGCTGGCAACTGACGGATGTTGTCTCTTCTTTTCCACAATATAAAAATGCTGAAATAGAGACATGCCATGAGTATTGAATTGTAAATGCGCTGGTGATGAAGAATGCAGGGATCAATCATTTAATTGGAAAACAATGGCATAGCTTTATGGATTTAATGCTTACCAAATTGTGTATTACTTAATTCCTTATTAACTTATATAATGTCCCGCAATCGCTGACCAAGGTCAGAGGGCATTTAAAAATGTGTTAGCCTGGGCAAAATAAACGACACGACAAACTAAAATGTGGCGATTACATCTTGAAACGAAATAAATTATTGTGCACATCGCAACGAGCTGACCCAAATACACAAAGCGAAAATGGGGGGTGGATTCGAAAAGGGAATGGGGGGAAAATCAAGGGAAAAGCAGAGGGACCAACGACAAAATGCTGGCTGCCATTGCCAGCTGATTATCGCTAATTGTGCCCAAGGAAATAGAAATTAAACGAGTCGGGATCGAGGACGGCCTTTATTTCCTGACCAGCGTATATGTACTGTACATGCGAATTTCGCCCGGCAGCGTTTAATTTAATTTGGTAGAGTCTTTAAATATTCACTGCAATTTATTTGATCGATAATTGAGCAGGCCAAGGTTGACGATTTGCCATCAAATTGCTCAGCAAACAAATTGAGATTAATTGAGGCAAAAAATCAGGCTAACGTTGCTTTCAATGTCACTGGTTATGACCTTCTAGAATTCTGCATTTTTCGGAGTAGCAGGCTGTCGATTGTAAAGGAACGTACAGTTCCTTTGTTCCTACATTGAAGACCCACAAAAACTATGTCTCAGGTAGGCTGTGAATCTACCATCACTTCCCTTTCGTAAGCAAAACAGTCATTCAGAGGCATTTTACTTTCGTCTACCCAACAGAAACATTCGCAGCCTGACAAGGTAAACAAAATTTCGGTATTACGTAAAATGATAGGCCTTCAAAAAAAGCGACCAGCCGCCGGAGATTACGTAGTGCCCAATAATTCGGTCCTCAATCTGCAGCACAAGCCCGGTCTCTACGATCCCACACCGAACGCCATGGAGAAGACAACCAAGTGTCGCTATTGCGAGAATATGGCCAAGAACTTCCTGTATTTGGAGAGTCTGATAAGGAACAACAAGGATAATGACAAGGGTGCCAAGTGCAGCCTGTGCAACTCGTCGCTCAAGTATTTGGAGTATGTAAATCGCAATATTCGTCAGGTTTTCGGCAACTTCGATGCAATTGTCCAGGCGGATCGCGCTTTGGCTGCCAAGCCGGCCATGATGCCCAAATACTCGGTGGCTCCGCCTCCGGAAAAGGGGGATTCCCGCGCCAAGGGCGGTGCCATTGTCTCGCTTCAGAGGTCGGCCAAAAGCCTCAAGACCAAGACCTCTCCTTCGAAGCTCAAGTCCAAGGAGAAGGGCATCAAGAGCCAGAAGTCATCGAAGTCGCTCAAGTCGCACAAGTCCGGCAAGTCGCTAAAGTCCGCCAAGTCGCTAAAGTCCGCCAAGTCCACGAAATCGGGGAAATCCCTCAAGTCCACCCTCAAGCTGGCCAAGAAGGGTCTGGCCAAACCGAAGAGCGCCAGCCCCAAGAGCCAAATTAGCCACGGCAAGATGATATTGAAGCGCAAGTTCCGAAATAAGGTGGCCAGCAAGTTGGCCGGCAATAAGGTGATTCGCAGTGTCAGTCAGTACCGCAGCTTGGCCTCCAACCGCTCCAAACTCTCGAAGGGATCGAGCCACAAGAAGCTCATCAAGCAAAGGTCCAATGCTCCGCCGACCAGCATCAACTGGCAGCTGCTCAAGAAGAACCTTCCCAAGCGACCCACTCTGGTGAAGTAGAAGCCATGACGACCGGGGATCGATCTGCGGAATTGGTTCCACACCCTTTGCACCCATCTCCAAATTATCTCGTTTGTCAAAATTCTAAAAGTGATCTTTCGCATACATAAACTGAGACGTTTTTACAAGCAAAATTAAGTCTAAATTGATTTATTTATTCTACAGGATCTATATTGATCTTAACATATGGTTGGGTTTTTAAAAGGTTCTGTTAGAAGAATTCTACACATAGGTTTTACATTTCCTCAGCTTTTTTCATAACTTAATCCAAGTTTAGTCGCTATAATAATTTTCGCCATATAAATTCTGCTGACCTCTATGAACATTTCATTCATTTCACCTTATCTGCAAAATTCATAAACTCAGAAATATATAAAAGTATATATATAACAACAAATAAATGCATACATTCCTAAAATCATAAATAATATTGACATTTTATTTCAACATTCCAAAGCTTTTTATTTCTTTACTTAAAAAAATGGTATATGCAAGATAAAATTCCTTGCGTATTGTGCCCCAACTACTTATCCGGAGTTATAATTTCGCTTTCAACAGTTGTGCTCCCTAAAACCCCTAAATGCAATGAATAGTATCTTAATTCTTAGCAACTTTTTCGGCTCATGAGCAAAAATCCGAATGGGCTTTTCCGTTTTTTCCAACTGATAACACGCTTCTCATACACAGAATATATGTAGGTCCACTTATCAGCATTGTTTATGGGTTCTTCGATTCTTTAATAAAATAGCACGGTTTCAGTATTCCAGAAGCACTTGCTTGGAGTGGTTTAAAACAATTTAAAATGTTTAAGCTGGCTTTCTATCGCTTGTGCGCCTTTATCGTCGTTTCATTTTTTGGATCATTGGCAGATTCTCAATACTATAGGCTTGATTCTGGAAATCAGTGTAGCCAATCCATCCAAACTGCACTTCGCCCGATGGACACTTATATTAAGCAAACAAACGTCCAGCTAAGCAGGATCGAAGGTGAGCAGAAGGTCACGCAGGACAATCTCCAGGCGCTAAAAGACGGACAGCAATCGCATTTGACCGAAATTCAAATAATGATGGACGCTCAACTTTTGGCTGTTCAGACTGAGCTGGAAAACCAATCTTGCCAGAAGACTATCTCTCAAGACGACTTCAGGGCGGGACTTCAGGCATTTCAGTTCAAATTGGAAAGCCGACTCCAGGAACAGACACGTATTCAACAAGAGATAAATAATAAGCTTTTGGCGACGCAAGCCCAACTGATAGGTCAGCAGAAGGCCCTTCAGAAATCTATAAATGCTATTATCATGAAAAAGAATTCGGAAATAGAGCCCATGAAAAGCATCACGAAGGAAGAGCTTGAGGCGAGTTTGAAAACGTACCAGATAAAAATTGAGCGTCAACTTAATTCGGTTCTGGCCAGTTCGAAGGAGCTTCTGGACAAAATCAAAGGACTGTCAAATGAGGCACCCAATCACAAGACCTTTTCCACAGCCACAGTACCAAAAATCCCAGCTAATTTCCAGCAGATCGGCAAGAGATACTTCTATATCGAAAATACGAATCCTAAAACTTGGAATAATGCTGCACAAACATGTCTCACTAAAGGCGGCCATTTAGCCTCAATCGAAAACGAAGTTGAGCTAAGATCCATATCGGAAAAACTCAAACCAAATACAAAATACTGGCTTGGAATATACTATCAGAACCAACAAGACCGTTTTATGTCTATAGCTTCTAGAAAGCCAGCTAGGTATTTAAAATGGAATTATGAACACAAAATGAAAGGTTTCGATTGCGTTTATTTATTTAACGGAGCTATGAATACATCTAAATGTTCATTACTCGAATTGTTTATTTGTCAGTTAGACAATGAGCTATAAATAAAATTATATACAGTAATTGACCTAAAAATATGTTTTGCAATTTTTATTCCTCCATACGTACACAAAAAAACTAAGTGTTTGGATCAATTCTTTACATTTGCAGGTACATTTCTGTAAAATACTTTCTTAACCAAGTTATCCACTATTATTGACGACACTGGCCATGCTGAATAAAGCCAAAGCCCTGAAAAGAAGAAGTCCGACATAAATTTGTTTGGGCTGTCGATAGGTATAAAATTAAATATTCACTGTTGATTCCAAGAATCGGATGAGTCATTTGAAAGATTAGAATTGAATCTTGTAATTTCTGCTTTTGCGACAAAAGAAATTCAGAAAAATTTGATAATAATATATATACAATACGTTCAGGGTGACTTATCAGCAATTTTCAAGGTTCTTTTCATTCATCAACATATATGTCAGTTTCAGTATCCCAGATACATTCGATTGAAGTAAGAAAAAATAAACAAAAATTTGGAAGCTAGCTTCCTGTTTATTATGTGTCATTATTGTCGCTGATTTGCAGGGAAGCCAATTCATCCGTACTGCTTTTCAGCTGATGGTCGCTTATATGAAAGAAACAAAGGACTAGCTTAATAGAACCGAAAGATATCAGAATATTCCAATGAACAATAATGTGACAAGTTTAAAGAATTTAGACTACTTGTGGCATTTACTCTTTATTCGGCGAATTTGGAGTTCGCAGAAGTATGACCTTTTATTTCTTTAGAAAAGCTCTACTCTAAATTTTGATACAAAAAAAAATCACGTACTAACGTTAAAACAAGTTTGTTTTGTATGTGTGGGGTAAAATCCACGAAAGAAATATAAGTTTAGAAATTTAACACTGCTTTCATCATTTAATTTTGAGTTGGACGCATTTACAGTTCGCTGCTTCCGTTGGTAAACGAGTTGTCCCTTTTATAATTTATAATTTGAATAATTTAAAATTATGCACCAGGTGGTGGAGCCGCAACCGCTAGAAGGCCCTTTGTTTGGCGTGCCTTTTTTCGGGCGTCTGTCTCAAATCGGTGACTCTTTTGTTGGCGCTGGCACTCTTTTAATTGTTGCAAATATTATTTTTATTTTGAGTATTGACAAGCACGCAATTAGCGACCCTTAACTGCTCAGACCGTCAAACAAAAAAAAATACTGGGTGACCTCGTTTGTTTAAAGATTTTCTACGTGCAGGGTCGGTGGAGAACGGTCAAACGGTCGACCTAGCTTCAATTTTCATTTAACGACCGGACGAAAGCGTCCAAATATTTTCACAATTTAAATGCAAGTGGATTGCGGCGATGGATGGGCTGGGCAGGAGGATGATGTGGAAGGTGGGTGTTGTTTGGGGTACAGGATGGTGGACATTGGCTAAGCAGATTGCCAACCTAACTGACTTTGGGGCCGCGGCCGGCAGTTTGACAATTTTTCGCCATGCCCGCTCAAATATGCCGCATACGCAGCTGGGTCCCCCGAAGCACGACCCTTCATTTGTTTATGGGCCACCCATTGCCAACCCCCAGTCCCCCTTTAACACCCATTGTGGTGCACAGAAATAAAATAGAAAAATTACATGATCTTGTACCAAGGTTAAAAGGTTTTCAAATAAATTCTGGAAATCCATTTTATTGCTTATTTATTTCCTATAAAGAAAGGTCGCATTGTATGTGAGATCACCTTTTCCATTTTCTTTTTTCCGGAACTCTGAAAAGTGAATGTTAAATAATTAGTTTTACACATAATACCATGTCTATTAATATACTATATTGTGTTTTAAAGTTCAGTCATATACAATTTACATACTTTCAAACCTGCATTGTAAACCAATAACAAGATGTATATATTATAAGAAGAATATATCTGAGTTCAGTGCTATATCCTACATATATTTTTTCAGTGTACCCCAACTGGGCATCCGTCCTTGTGTTTGTGTGGGTGCACGCCTCGTTGACCGTTCGGATAAAACTTATTAGACACAAGTGTATTTAGCGCATGTGTGTGGGTGCTCCCCTGTGGGCTCCCGGCTGTTTGTCTGTGTGTGTGCGTGAGTAACTAACTGCGGGCAGTTCAGTTGAGTTCCATGGGCGGACCAAGATACCCAGATACCCAGATAGCCACGCATCTGCATATATCAATCGGAGGATGCCCGCAGCCAGCCTTCCCGGGCACCCAATGCAGCCATGTTGTGCATTTGAACAGAAATAATATTTTGCCGTAGCCCAGTTTTGGATGGGTTTTGCTACAGGGGGCGTTTTCAGGGCCTTTTCAGGGGGTTTTCAGGGGGTTTCCATGGGATAGTGGCGGGATCGGTGGACCGGCAACTGTGTGACGTTGCCGCACAATTCCTTTGTAATTAGATAACGTAACAAAGCAACAACACGGCGACCACTGCACTTCCGCTCCCCCAGGCGTTTACGGCCCGCCTGGCAATGCACTTTTGCCACGCCCCTCCCGCTCGAACGCCCCCTTCTGCACATTTCCCGTGCATTTTCGTTTTACGTAAAATGTTGAGAGCCTTTTCTGATTATTTGGCAAAATCGCAACATTTACCGCTGCCACACAGCTCCGCTCCCCTGGCCGTTGGCAGTATAATTAGCCGCAGTTATAACCGTACCCCCTTCCATACACTTTTACACCCATCAAGCTGCGACTGCAAAAATCCGGCCTCCGATGTTCAATTTCCACAGGGTGCACACTCGACTGCCTTTCCAAGCGATGCGTACGCAATTGCAGGAAAGGGATGGGTCGGGACAGGAACCGATAGTGGAGTTCCCAGGGTTTCCAGATATTCACCATCGACCAAAGCCCTGCCTCAATTTTTCGGTAAGGACCTCTTCATCCGCAATTCCAATGAAGGCCTAATCTCACCAAGGAGAATTCACTTTGCATTTGGTGTCCTTTCGTATGGAGTGTACTTCAGTAGCTCATAATTGGCTTCCTGCTGAGATACTACGGAGTGAAATTCTCCGTATTCCGAGCTCAGGTATTCTTAAGGCCTTAATGGAGACAAAGGCTTTGAGGGGGATTGTCATCAATGGATCAATGTCCAATTATTGTGGTTGATGTCATGGAAATATTGTTTTAACCACATTGTCCTGACTCATCAGTTTATTTAACAACAAAAACTGAAAGGTACCAAGTCAAAAGTCGCCAGGGGTTTTAAATCACTTTGTTGTTGCATACTTTTAGACACCTAGAATTCCATTTCAAAGTGGTAGCCTCGTATCTTTCCTAATTTTCAAGAAAATTGGTCTTTTTATTTATACAGATGTTGTAACATTTATAAGTATAATCAACTTGATTTCGTTATATAATGGCCGCCCCTTCTGCTTTGATCGCCTTGATAACGATGGCAACTGAGTACTTGCAAAGGACACGTCTTTCCTGAAATTTATGACCCTCCACTAGCTAAAGCTTCAGGTTAAAAACCCTTAGCTGAACCCATTCCCCACCGGCGATAATTAGGTACCACATTGGATGGCACTAAAATGCGCCAGCCGACAAATGACCTACAATAAGATTTAGTGTGCTCTCAAGCAGCTAAACTTAATATTTCACGTGCACTTAACCTACGGGTTTAAATGTCGTAATTTTCTCATTGGCAACCTCCTCGCGCCCGAGGAGAAGCTACTCGAATGTTTTACTGTCTCAAAGTTTGTCTCAATTACGTGCGTGCCAGACTGAGTCAGCTCATCCCTATCCCAAGCCCAATACCAATCCCAATCCCAAGCCATATACCATATATCCCACTGGCCGAACCGAACTGAACCGAATATTTCTGCTGAGACTACGGCGCATTTCTCAGCAGGGTCGCAGGAGGAGAAGGACCCGCAAACCTCGTCCCGTTTGTCATTGGCAACTTTTTAATTAAAAGTTTCATCCGAGTAATGGGATATTTGCACTGCGAAATGCCACGGCGGCCAGCGACGATACTTGATACTTGTGCAATATTTGTGGGCGTCCCCCGTCCCTCGTCCATCGTCCTTCCTGTCCCCTTCCAACAAGTATCTAATTGCCAAAAGGATTTGCAAAACTTCAGCCTTACATAACGTTGCGCTGACCTCCATCGCTATCTTTATCTTTATCCGCTCGTTTGTTGCTGTTGCGCTGCAAACTTTTGGCCAGCAATTGCCAAACTATGCCCAACACGGCACTACGTGAGTCGAGCTAATGAGCTGCAAGAGTCACGAGCACAATTAGCCGGGCAGCGATTTTAATTAGGACCCATCTAACGATCCAAGGCGGATCGAAGATCGCTTAATTAATATTCCCAAGGCCATAACATCTGACTATCTGGGTCAAATATTCAAAGGAAATGATTTAAATAGAAACATACCTATAGTTCCACAAATCTACATTCTTATCAGATTTAATTACTCTTATTAAGGGGGCATAGGAAATAGTTCTGCTCGTTTTCTACCGCCACTCGTACAGTATACATCATGCTTCGATAAGCACAATGTATATTGAATAGTAGACCATAAGGAAAAACCCCATATTATATTGTTAGTTTCCTTAAAAAAACATTTCGCGCCCAACGAGGGACCTAATTAACTGTTAGGAAGTGATTTACTTTAAGATAGATGAAGATGAACTCTCAAGCGGCAGACTTACCGCCTTGGGACTTATTTAAATTCAAGGAAAACAGGAAGTGACCAACTGAGACGTGACCAAAATTAAAGTGGAAGAATTCCCAGAACTCACTGTATAATTTGTCGTAGATCTACCTACATCAAAGTCAGATTTTTCAGAGAATCCCACTTGGACTTGCTACCAAATGAAACTCCCCCTTGGAATTCCCACCCAACCACAATCGATTACCACTGGCCAGTGTTTAGACTTCGATGTTCGTCGTTCGTTGTTCACTTTTCACTGTTCACTGCTCAGTGTCCACGTCTAATCGCCGCCGGATGTCCGCACAGAAATTTGCTTTCATTGTTTTTGTGTTCCAGCAGCCGGACTCTCGTTATATTTGCCTGTTTTTCGGACGGGGGACTCGGATTCTGTCGCCTATTCTGCTCTATTTTAGCTTTTTTTCCTTCATTTTTTTTTTGTTTGAGCCAACTTTGTTGTTGTCAGCATTCGCTTTCAATTTCCTCATCCACTCGAACTAACATCCTTCCGCCGCCTTGTCGTGGTTGCTCATTCATGGGCCGTTTTCACAATGTCCGCTGGAGAGGGGCGCTGTAGCAGCTAGTCCTTCTGGTCAGTCGTCAATCGGCAGTCGTCAGCAGTGAATCCGAATAACACTGGACCGCCCGTCCGTTTGTCAATCAATTGTGAATTGTTTATTGAATGTTGTCGTTAGACTGCACACAATGCCGCTAACAGCCGGACAGGAGTTGTCGGTTTGGCTTCGTTTGCCGATCCATTCTGGCTATCTGGCGATTTTTTGGGCTTTCGTAATGCGTTTAAAGGGTATATAGGGTTTCATAGAACCTTTGCAACAGAAAAAGGTACAGTTTTGACCAGAATCACATAAATGGAGCTTTCAATTTGTTAGGGCTCAAATATTTAAGAGGTGTAACAAAAATTACCAGGTTTTCGAAATCACTTAAAAAACGCTCCTAAAAGAATGCAATGAAATAACCACATCGTCATTCAAATAGAATCCGTACTCCGAACATTTTGTTGCATACTTTTCGACACCTTAATAAATGATTTTGAAAAGTAATTCTTAAAATCGGACAAATCGTAAAAGTATATATATCTACTTTTTAATTACCCAAATCAGAGACACTTTAGTTTTCTTAGAAGATAACTAGCTGATAAAGAACTCTAATAAAGTCAAGAACTTTTTAGTTGGTATCCCTTAGTCTAATCCTATAATAATAGTATTCTTTCTAGTTTTTTCCGCCCAATTTTGTTTGTTTCAAGTTTGGACATTGGCGGATGGCTTAGGACTGGCATTGTTTGCCCCGTCAAACGCTCCGTTTTGTATTTATCTTTTTGTGCGCTGATCGATTTGTTGTTGGGCCTGGGCTTTTCATTGAGTGCCTCGGCCATTTTCCAAACGCATTTCTTTTTTTAAGAGCCACCGCTGCATGCCCGCACTCTCATAAATTCGCCCAAATGGAAATGGTCTTTGTCCGTAATGAAATAGTGTTGACTTTCCTCACACTGGCACTCCTCGCACACACATCGAATCGCGTGTCCTTAACAAATGCACGAAATTGCTTTTAAACGAGGACGACGCCGTGCAGTCTGCCGCCCAGCCTCTCAGCTCCTCCGCCCTTTTCCATCCTCAGATTTTCCACCCAACATCCAGCCCGGTCCAGTGGCATGTGATGATTTGTTCGCACATAATGAAACTCATCAGCAGCTGCAGCCCCGGAAAAAGTGGGAAAGGACGGGTGGGGTTCGAAAGGGGTTCGGTCATAAAGTACAAGCCAACTTGTTCGGATCGAGGCTTGGCATAAATTCAAAAAGTACGACTACGAGTACGACCAACGGCCACTCGGCGGGAAAATGTAGTAAAAGCATTTCACAGTTTCATTTTCCACGACTCACTGCCGACCACTGTCCATCTGTACATTTTTCCAACCGTCTACCATCCGCACAGCTCGGCTTTTGTGCGATTTACTTAATTTGAAGTGTGCCGGGGCCATCGAGGCATTCCTTTTAAAATCAATTCGAAGTTTATTTTTCTTGCGGCTTCTTCTCCAACCCAACCATCGCATATTTTCTTCGTTTGCTTTCAATGTTTGACTTGGACTGTCGCACTATTTATGCACGTCTTTGCTCCGCAGACAGCAAGGACCCACTTTGGCCAGGACATTATGGCCGATGAGCTGGCCAAGCAGAAGGCAGGCAAATGGAACTGCTTTAGACGGGAGAAACAAGAAGGACCTGGAGTCCCCAACTGACTGCTATGCAAACTATGTAAAATAATCTCTTTTATTGCTGAAATGTTTATTCAAATATATTTGTATATTAACAAGTTTATGGATGAAACGAGAGCGGATGGGATTTGTGCACAGAAAACAAAAAGGTCAATTAAGATACCATTTAAGCTTAACTTTAAAACTCAGCTTTGTAAAAAAGGCGCCTGAAAGTATGCAGTGAAAAAGACTTTTCATTTGTGAAGGAATGCATAGGACTTCTGAGTATTCAAAATATTTTATAGCATACTTTTAGACACATTCAAAAGTAAATTTAATTTATTAATAATATTTGATACCTACATTCAATATGAAATATATAAGGATAATATTAATGGGGTAAAATAGTAGTAAATGGTAAAATGTATTTTTTTTTTAGTAAAGAGAACTTCCTCTTTTTCTTTCCGTGTGGCTTCGTTTCCTAGCTGCCAGCCTGGGGCAAGAGTGAATTTTAAGCTGCGCGCAAACAGCTTGAGCAAATTCATTAACAACAGAACTGCCGCCACCGCCCCCGATCCGAATCCAAAATCCGAAATCCCCGCCCAACGGAGAAGGGAGCTCAGCTCAGCGCTACAGCTACAGTTGCGGTTGCCTCCGAAAATGAGGGCAATGCATTTGTCCCGAGGGTGCCAGAGTGCCAGAATGGCAGAGACCAATCCCGACCAGAAATGGGAGCAGAACTGCGGGTTGCCAAGCACTTGTTTTTGATGTGACGCTGATATTTAAAAGTGGAGTTCACATCAAAGTTACACAGCGGTCCAGAATGGCCGACATCCCTGTCATCATCATCATCCCCATCATCGTGATACGCAGTCAGCAGGTTTCCGTTGGGGTAGGTATGCCATGGTACATTAGCAGCAGGACAAAGGACGGGATTGCTGACAAGGAACCCACTTTACTTTAGTTGCCAATGCAACATAAGCTACTTAGGATGGACACAAAAAAAAAGAATGGAAAGCACAGCGAACTCACAAGTTACTTATGGTAAACTCTTGGTCGCAAAATAAATATTTCATAATGTGGGTAGGGTAGCATTTGGGTCGAGTACTATCTGGGTGCAAAGTTCCATGTGTACTTGCGGTAATTGCAAAGCGTTTTAACTATGCTCCACGGCCTTTGTTGCTGCGGGCGCAATTGCAAGTGCAACTGCAATGGCAACTACTTGCTGTTACTTGACACATGTCAGTCACTCACTCACAGCACTTGAGCGGAAGGGATAACCAGGATGTGCTACCATAAATTTCACTGCCTCTGATCCACACTGATACACTTCTGACTTCTGCTGATGATGACTTGGCACTTAAACTGCCAAGGGGCCAAGTGCCAGGACATTCGATCAGCTGAGCCCCCATTAAGCATACGCCGTGTTGGACACTGAAAATCATCATCAGCACATCGCATTTGAATGCCTCGTGGCCGAAAAACCATCTGATGTTGAGTTATGTGCCCTGAGTTTTGGCGCTGAGAACTTTCAGAAAAACGGAAATTACATTTCGCTCGCTTCGTGTGCAATTAAAGTTGGCCAGGTGGCCAGGGAAAGGGGCTAGACTTTCCCCTATTTGCATTTTGCATTTGAACTAACTGCGCGCAGGGCACACACTTTAAAGTGTTCCTCTGTTAATGCGAATTTGAAGTTTGATCGATATGTGGGGCGTGGCTGGCGCTGCGACCGCCGCCCACTGGCCGCCCCGGCATTAGAGGTCACACGAAGCGGGCCCATCATCATTTTAACGCCAGTTGCCGCGCCGAGTTGTTTGATTTGCCGCATCACAGCCGCTGGAACACGAGGCCGAATCCAATCCTGATCCCTGACCAATGTCCGATGCGGCGGGAATGGCCAGTAGCGATGAGGAGGGTCTGCCCACCAGCGGGAGCAGCGGTCGCCAGCGAGTCCAGCGGGACTTCAGTGATTCCAGGCTGGAGCGGGTGGCCTCCTACACAACGACCACAATGCGTCTGAAACCAGATAAATGGACCAAAATGATGGCCAGCGATGAGCTGCGGGTGAGTTGCCTTTGAACAATTAAATTAAGTACTAGAAAAGAAACCATTAGTTTTAAAAATGTTGTTAGTTAAAAAATAATATATCTATTTTCTAAATTAACAAAATACAACAGTTTCAGCTTCTATTAAAGAAATTCCTATTTTGCATAACTAACTTCAAACTACTAAATTTACTTTGCTAATTTAATATTACGTGTTTAATATTTCCAAAACAATAATTAAAATCGATAACCAACATAAACAACAAAATAAGCGCAACATTCATGTTTATGACACATAAAATTTACAAAGACCTATTGAATGGAACTTTAAATGCAGAACGTAATTTGTTTAATAAACTGAATATTAATTAACAATTCCAGCCCTAATAAAAAGTTTAAGTGATTGTGTGATTATTGATTAAAATGGTTAAACAAGTTGACAATGAAAATAATTTATTGAAATTAAATTAAAGTGAATTAAAATGGAAAACAATATGTAAAATGTGATTAGTATGACATTTTGTCTGTGCATTTAAGTTACCATTGTCCCATTACCTTCGTATCTAGCGCATTGTTTTGGACTGGCAGCATGGTCACAGTCGCGTCCTGGTGATGACTCTCAGTCCTGGTGGAGATCTGGTGCCCCGGAGTTGCCTCAGTGACTTGTATCTGCCGTATTCGGTGCAGAGCACTCGTGGATCTGTCCCATCCGCCGCCATGCTGCCCCTGGAAGATGAAGCCATGGCCACAGTGACTGCCGCCGTATCCGCCGTGGTATCTGCCACGCCCGGCGTCCTGCTCATCCCCCTGCCGCCCGCGTCCTCCAGCTTTACGACTTTAGATGGTGTGCCGCGCGGCAAGTGCGCCTACTTTGTCCGACGTAATACTTCCGACGGACCGCTGACGGCATCCAATTTTGCGGAGAGCATTCTGTACGGCGACTTCCCGGTGCACAGCAAAATCGAGACCATGTCGCTGCTGTTCGACGAAGTATTGCAACCGCTCCTGGAACAGGCACAAAGTCAGTGGCCCGCCATTGTTCGCAAGGATCTGCAGGCGCGAATCAAGGAAGTGAGGAACACGCTGACCGAGGTGGGTGATTTGGCTGACTGGAGCTAAAGCACTTAGAAAAAATTTACCTTACAACTGGAGTAGTTTAAAACAAATTAAAAAAAAAGAAACCATTCAGAAACTTTATTTTTCGATGGATTCACAGATATCTTAAGTGCTTTGAGTTAAATTATCAATAAGTGTCTAAAAGTATGCAACAATATATTTTAAATACAGAGCTCGGATAGATTCAATCCAAAACAGGACTTTTCGCAGCATACTTTTACACTCCTTTTAAAGTGTTTTCTGTGACACACACCCCATTTTATTATATCAAAATCAAAACTATATTTTAACAAAATTCGAAGTTTTTTTTTTTAAGCAAGTTGTGTCTAAAGGAATGCCACAATATATCTTGAGTATGGAGGGATTGATTTCCAAAGTTGGCGTTCCTTTTCCACAGCATTCAACTGAACACATTTTAAAAAATTCTGTGGCACATCCATCTATACAATAAATTTTAAAGAAGGTAGATTTTTTCGCGAGTGCAGCCGGCAGCTGTGTTATCTCATCAAATTAATCTAATTGAGTGCAGTGGAGCGGAGGCTTCGAGTGGGGTGAATGGTAGGTCCCTCAAACCCCAACCGATCCCATTTGGAGCGACTCCGTCCATTGTCTTGGAAGTATTTCGCTTAATTGGCAAAACTTTTCATGTGTCTACGGGCGATACGTATACATTCTGTTTCTGTATATATATACTTTATTGTTATCCCCACAGATTAAGGGCAAAACCAACAATCGCACAATTTTATCGTTATTAGTTTCGCCAACAATCGTCGAGGAAGTGTTTGCCCACGTGAGCCAAGGGTAAGTTCCAGCCATGGGATGGCCATTGTCTTAGAAATCCGCCCTGCCCTCCAGCTCAGTGGAGCTCCTTGGGTTCGAAGATGTCGCCCCAGCAGAAGCTATCTGGTATTGTTTATGTGGACAGAAAGAGAAAGGCTTATTCATGATACCAAATTGATTTTCATTGGCATAACTTTTCGCATGAATTGCTCGAAATTTATTTAGCTTGCAATTCCGGGGAAATTCAAGTTGTTTACCCCTTGGCCACACAAAACTGGTGGCATACATCGATTATTTTCCCATCGTACGAGTGCTTTTAATTAAATTACAAATATTAAAGAAAAAGCAATCGGCCATCAGCATTCTCAAGAAAATTGTCCAGAATTGAGCTAAAATTGCCATTGATACACACACGTCAAGAGCCTTTAAAAATGTATTAAGAGGTTCATGCTCCAGTAATTCACAATATTCGAATCAATAGAGACAAAATGAAAAGCCAAGGCATTGGCAAAAATCAAAATAAACCATAAAGCCATCTTTATTGGTATCAATGTTGAATGGAAAACTAACAAGGAAAAAAGTTTAAAACAAATAGCAACATAAAAGGGGTGAAGTCAAATGCAAATTTTTTGAGAATTAGGTCAATAAATGTTTCCGCTCATTATAAAAGTTCTCCCCATGGACCAAAGTTTAGTTGCAGAGAAGTACAAATGAAAGCCAATAATACAAAAAACAATTGTGTAACTTTAAACTTCTATAGGATTACCTTAAAAAATCAACTTAAGCTGCTTAAAATTATATCTCAGAAATACAGATTGTTTTAATACAATAGATTTTAATTGTGTTTGTTTTTTAATTTCCATAGCCATTTAAGGCCTGCCTTGGATCCGAAATTCCGAAATCTGATGGAGGAAATGTTTATTAACTGGACTACCCAGATGCATGACATTGTTTTGGAGCGTTCCGAGTGTCAACCCTTGGGATCTGCCACCTTATCATCCGGGCATCAACCCAAGCACATAACACACGTTTCCTTGCCCGCCCAGGAGATTGGATTTTGGACGAACCGGAAGTTAAACCTGCAAAATATCTATGAGCAGCTGCGAGAATCCACGCACAAGACTTTAGCACAGATTTTGGAACGAATCGAGTCGGTTTATTATGTGCCATATGCCACTGCCTTTCGGAAACTGGTGGCAGCCTGGTTGGAGGCGCAGGATGTTTCCCTTTGGCTGCAACCCCTTCTCCGCCAGACTTCCGCCTTCAATTCGGTGCAGTTCAGCAATGGCCACGATTTGGTAGCACCTCTAGTACACGTGGTGCATCTTGTGTGGAGCAATGCCAGGTACTATCGCAGCACCCAAAGGATGAGTGTCCTGCTGCGCTGCATCTGCAACATGCTGGTCCATCGTGCCGCCGAGGATCTGGAGCTGCAGTTGCTCTTCCAGGGTGACGCCGACGAAGGGCTACTTAAAATCAATCGCACCACAGAGGTTCTGGAGCTTTTCAAGTAAGAATAAAAAATGATTGATAAAAATCTATCAACACAGTTAAAATATTTATGCAATTCCCTTTTATTACAAAATAATTTAATAAAAGTACCATAGGAGCTCAGTTAATCATATATGGAGTATTCTGATTGTTTTAAATTATATTAATCTTTAATTGACTTGAATATGCCAATGAGATACACTTATTAAATACCATCAAATTAAATCCGAATCTAATATTCTTCCCACTGTTATTATGTAAAATGCAAATGTGGTTAAGAAAATTGCTTGGCTTAAAGACAATTTAAAACCAATTTTAAGTAGAAAATCAATTACTTCCAATCCTACCAAATAAGTCATAGTATGTGTCAATATTCAACAAAGCTGTGTCACTTAATAATATAAGCCCCTAACTAGGCTAATTTTAATATTATAAATTATGGAACATATTCAATCAATTCGCCACAATTCAATTACAAATTTAAAGTTCAGTTAGAATTTTGTTTAAGGAATTATTATACATATTTAATGTCAAATTGCAATAACCCATTTTCTGCAGGCAGCGAATGATGGAATACAAGGAGCGCTATGCCGGCAATCAGGTCCTTTTGCCAGCGCTTTCCGAAGGAGCAGGAGCTGTGGCTCCTTCTCCATTCCCGGATGACCAACAGCAGCTGTGGCGCTTCTGCCACGAGGATGTGTTTGGCCAAACACTCGATGGCTTCTCAGCACAGATGGTGGAGCTGCGTCAGGTTTTCGAGGCGGCAGTGCAGTTTCAGCAGCTGGAGAAGCTGGAAGTGGGCGGTTTAAGAGGCAAAATGCTAACAGAACGCGTCAGAGAGGTTTATTTAAAATTATAATAAGATATTATATCTAACAGTTATTCATAATCTACGTTTTCCCTAGATTTTTGGCGAGTTCAAGCTACTTTTTGAGCAATGGAGCAATGTGGACATTGATCTCACGGCCTCGGTGGCCAGCAAATGGAAATGTTTCCGCCGGGAGCAAGTCCTTTTCTTCAGTCGCATGCAATTGCTGGAACAGAAACTGGCCACCGTTTTGCTCCAGGCATTCGAACAGTGCCACAGCTGGACGCACTTGCTCCGTTTGACCCTGATGTTTGGCTGCCTGCTGCAACGTGAAGCTGTGAGACCGGAATTGGCTCGAGTCCTGCCGCACATCCTTTTCATCTATAACACGGAAATGGAGCAACTGGAGGAGAGTGTCACGGAAGTGCTTTTGGGCTACGATATTCGGGGTTTGGCTGCCTTGCCCATGGCCAATAATTTTCCACCCATTGCCAATGCCATGATGTGGCTACAACAACATATCATTCGCTGCGATGAATTGGGAGCCAAGGAGCTTAACCAACTTATTAAGCAGTTGTAAGTAAAAATGTTCTAATAAAATATTTTACAAATCTTTTTAAATTTTTAAAACATACCAGACTAAAAGAGAAATCAGAGCTGCAAACCCTGCCCCTTCAATGGGGTTCTTCGCTCTCACGTCGCAATATTTTGACCACCAAATTGAGTAATCTGCAGATGAAAATCTGGACCTCCTGGCATGAGTGCATTGATAATCTAATCAAACGAGGACTTGATGAATCGGTGCTTTCCCGATCAGAGGATAATAGTCAGCTGTATCTAAACTTCTCCCCAGTGCTGTTCACCCTGCTGAAGGAGACCAAGTATTTGTTGGCCCTCCAGGCCACCGGCAGCTTATCCGGCGATCTATTCCAGCTGCCGGACCAACTACTCACACTCTATGGTCAGCGGGATGCCTATTGGGAGCGTCGCATTCGACTCATCAAGATTGGGGAGTTCTACAACGGCATTCGCTCGGGGGAATGTGCCGCAGCTGAGCTCCAGTTAATACGCAACGACCTGGCGACCATCGACGAACAGGTGGCACAGGCTTGTGAGCAGCTCACCTGGCGCAACTACGGTGAGTGGAATGGACTACACTGGGGAAAATTTGCAAAAGAAATAAATGTAGTTACCATAATTGCCCTCGTCAAAATCATTGAATCTATTACAAACGTCATAATATTGGAATTAACCGCTATATATGGCTATCAAAAATAAAAAAGTTTTTTTAAAATTTTTTTGTAAAGGCTTTTACCAAAAATCTGAGCTATACAATTTGGTAAATATACGAGTTAAAGTACTTCATCTTAAACGTTAAGTCGTCTTTATCTTATAAACTTAGATACAACCTTATTTTCTTCTGTGTATCGCAACCATATACCCCCAGATGATCCGCTTGTAGCGGACATTTTTGAGCAGAGCCGAGACCTTTTTGCCCGCCTACAGCAGTCGCACGGCAATTTGGATGCAATCCTGGCCAGCATGCGTCGCTGGAGCCGGGAGCCACTGCATCAGCGAAGCTTATACGGTCGCAATCTCCTCGATCTGCGCCACCAGCAGGACCGAGTGCGTCTGCGATTGCTGCAGTGCGATGAGACCAAGATGCTCCTCAATCGCCTGCTGATTGCTAACTTCTGTCTGTTCTTCAACTATGAGGCCCAGGAATTTCAGCTTTACTCCAGGGATCTGAGTGTGCAGGAGGTGAGTTTTAGGCACTATTTATCATAACTTGAGCTATTTAAATTTTATTTAGCTAGTAAAAAAAACCTAACCAGACATGGATTTTCCAGCTCGTAGTTAGACGTTTAAGATAGGATTTAGGATTGGTATACGTGAAATTTTTTTTTGTGAATTTGTATTTACTAAAAAAATTATAGTTTCTATGCTTTAATGACTGTTTAATGGATTTTTAAAAATTTTCATTGCAGTTTGTTCGAGAATTTCCCAAGGAGCAGCGGCGGCAGTACCACAAGTATCTGGCCAGCGTGGATGAGCTGATTTGCCGCGAAGTTCGGGAGGCAATGAGAATAAGGTTTCTGAACTAGCACTTGACTTTCCATCATCATCATCATTCTCATAATGATCATCTCCATCATCATTGTCAGTAGCACTCATCGCCAATCAATTGCACTTCTTCACCAGGCAGCTAACTATTTCATTACATTTCGGCACGCTGGCAGCTCCTTTCATGTCTCATCAGAACTAATCAAGTAAATGAGCACGATATCGCACAACTGCAACCGCAAAAATGAAAGACACCTGCAGAAAGTGCAACACTGCAACAGCCAGCAACAACGTGCAACAACCACACACTTCGCGACCGCAGCAATATGGGTGCAACAATGGCAACAACAAATTGCCGCGGGCCGAGCATTCATGCGTCAATTGCATGTTTCACTTAGCGGCACTTTTCGTGATTGCATGCAGACAACGTCAGACGAATATTGGGGGTGGGGAGGGGGCGGTAGATGTCTACAGGGGGCGTGGCTCACAACCTGCAAACGAAATAAGCTGCAAAACAAACTCAACACTAAATTTAATTTTCACATTACTCATACGCCGTGTAATTCAGTTTAGAGTATTTGTACAAAGAAATGACAGCAACAGCAACAGCAAAGGCAACAGCAACATCAACAATTCCAGCGGATCCGGGTGCTTCAGCCAGCATGGCAAGGTTAGTCCTACAGCAAATCACAACGCCACAGGCGACAGGAGGAGCAGGAGCAGGGGGATCAGGAGCAGGAGGATCAGGAGCAGGCGGTGGAGCCCCGCCAGCCATCAACGATGCTCCACTCTTCGAAGTAAAATTGGAGCTGACGGAAACGGAAATACGCTTTTCGCCCGCCTTTGATGCAAGTGTGGAAAATAATTTTCAACAAATTGTGGAGCAGCTGTTGCTCGATATAAAACAGACATGCGACTGCATGCCAAGAATTGTGGCTGACAATGCCCTGTCAGAGGATGATGAAGACGACACGGCGACGGTGGAGTTCGAGCAGGAGCAGAAACAGGAGCCGAAAGAGGTTGAGGATCAGGGACAGGAACTGGCGGGTCAGGAGCCGGAGGAACCCAAGCCGCAGGCCGTGCAATTCAACCTGCTGGCAGCCGCCAAGGCATATAGCCAAAAAATGGAATGCAGTGGTATGGATTTTGCCTCCCCAATAAGTTATAGCATATTTAGATACCCTTTTGTATGGTCTAAAATGTGTAAAGGTTTTAAGGTTCTTAAAATATTATTTTATTTCTCAATGAACTCAAAAATTTTTTGCTTTACAAATATATTATTGCATACTTTTAGACACCTTTATAAATGATTTTAAAATGTTTATTACTTGAGACACCATTGTACATATATAAATTTTATTTCCACCCTTTTCCAGAGTATAAAAGTATATAAAGGTGTCTAAAAGTATGCAGTAAAAATATCACCTTACTTCTTAATAAATAAATAAATAGAATATAGGGATATCTGCACTTAAAATTTGTTGTAGCATACTTTTAAACACCTTCAAAAATGATTTAAAAACAATATTAGTTCGTTGTATTATTTGACATTCTCAAAAATATTTCTTTAAAAGATTCTACAATATTTTATATGTTTTAAGGGTCATAAACAGTAGTTATAGGGTACATAGGGTTCCGAATCGAGCTGTAACATATAGTTTGACTCCTATCTGCCATTTTTTTCACTTATGTTTCCCTTATCCCAGCCGATGGTCTGGAAATGCTGGAGAAGGCGATACGAGATGCCCTGGCGGATACGGTTGAGGCGGCATCGGCTTACGCTGCCAAATTCCACGCCTATGCATTCCTGTGGACCCAGCAGAGCGGCGACGTCCTGGCCGCCTGCATGCAAACGGCCAGGGAGCAGACGCACCATGTCAGTGCCGGCGGCTATGCCATCATGGAGACGTTCAAAAAGGAGGTGAGTCGGAAAAAGGAGCAAGGCAGGACCAGGACTCCAGGGCACTGAATGCCAACAGCTTTAGTGGCTGCGACACTCACACCCAACTCGTCGAGCAGATAAGGTTGGATGTATTTGGACGCAGACTGGGCTGCTCAATTGGCAGCCACACAATTTACGCCATGTAGCCCCTGAGACCAATAACGCTTGATAAATGCCAACCATTTAGGGTCAAATGTGTGGCAACTGACCAGGGCAAAACACAAAAAAAAAAAACGAAACCCCGAACAAAACAAAGCAAAACACTAAACAACTGCTTAGCAGCCACATGGCGTCGTTGACTTATGTTCGGGGGCAATTGGGAGCCACTTCCTGTAGCACAGCAGGCAAATCGCCGACGTATGCGTAATATTTTCTTTAAACAATTATCAAACGCCCCGAAAAGTATGCAATAAATTACCCGAAAGGAACTCACACACACGCAACACAACACAACAGGCAACAACAAATCATGGTCAAAGTGCACGGACATGGCGTGAAATTGGGTGTTGCCCAATAAAATAAGGGAAATTCGCCAGCAAGATATGGCCAAACAGGAAAGCAACGAAGTCTGAATGGTCTGATCTTAAACTTTTCATCTTTGTTATGGGCGGAGCATTGTATGTTGCAAATGCTAAATTTAGCCTCCTCAGAAAAAGAAAATGTTTGGATGAAAATGGCATTAAATTTAGTGGCTTTCCGATTTTGTTTTTTTCAATATTTATGAATTCTAGAAAATGCTAACCACTGATTTGATTATAAATGACACATTTAGATTCCAAAAAATTTGTTTATATTTGATCAAAAGTGTTTCGCCTATAAAGCTGTCTAAAAGCAGGCAACATAAATTTTACAGTATACTTTTAGACACACTTTTAAACGATTTTCTTGGCATATCTTGATATTCAATTTTGGAATTACCAAATATATCCTTCAAAATATATTGCGAATGAGAAATTCCAGACATAAATTCAGTGATACCCTAGCCTACGATAGAGCACAAAAAATCACTGGCCAGCATTTTATTTATGACTAGCCATTGAGTTGCCCCTGGCGCAGCTGGTGCGCTTAATAAACCGACGGCAGCGGTACGAATACTATAATATATACACAGCATATAGGGGCTTATCCTTTCCACACACTCAGAGATATACACAGAACACACCCATGTGTGGCAAATTTGCAAATAAATTAGGGTAGGACCAAGTCAAAAGGAAGTTGTCACTCCCTAACCGTACGGATTTTCCACAGATCGAGAACTACAACGAGGTGCATGATGCCATCGACCAGTGCGAAAACCGGGAGTGCATCAACGGATGGCTAGCCCTCGATCTCAAGCCCTCAAGTATGGCCTTCTCAACCTGGCCTGCAAATGGTCGCACCTATGCAAAAAATGGTTACTCCGCTACGTTCAGGGAACTCTTAAGGTAGGACATAACACACCAAAATGTTGACCTTCTTCTGGGAATTCCTTAATAAATGCAATTATAGAGTTGTTGATAAGGTCCTAGAAGATTGGTTGACGAAAACACTTTAAATAATTTAGGTATTTTATTTTGTCATTATATTTTAAAATTCATTTATTCAACAATGCATATATTTTTTCATGTCTTCTAAACTTTATTATCAGATTGACAAATGAACAAATACCTATGAAAGCAGTATTTAACACTCATCTTTTCGTCAAGTAGCTGAACGCAGTTTATATTTTGATTGTTTTGCTTGGCATCCCACAACAAAAATCTATCATTCTTTCCGGAGGCCAAAGACACGAATTCACCTTCTTTTTCCTTATCGTTGAGGCCAAGCCAATACTCAGTATTTTTTAATAGTTTCCTATTGATGATCTCGAATTCGGTTTCGTTTTCGATGGCTGCCAAATAGCCGCCCATATTTCGACAGGTTTCTGCAGCGTCTGACCAATTTTTCTTAATATTATTTTCAATATAAAAGTGCCTCCCACTTATCCTCTCAAAATTCGGTGGAATTTTTAAATTGTCGTTGGAAGATGTTGCTTTAGAAAATTTCTCATGAGCTGGTTCCTGCCCTTCTAATTTTAACTGCAACTCCTGTAGACTGGACTTAACCAAAAGAAGCTTTTCCTCCGCTACCTTGAAAATCGCCTGCAAACTTGCCTCAAGTTCTTCCTTTGAAATGGTATTTTCGCAGGATTTCGCACAGCCTGGTTGGGAGATGATATTTTCGATAGACTTTTCGATGTTTGCCTGCTGGTCTTCCAGTTTGGTCTGCTCTGTTGAAAGTTGGCCAATAACCATATTTTGAGAGTTCGTCTGCGCCTTCAATCTTTCTTCCATTTTGCTCTTAAAAACCTGGAGTTCCTCATCGTATTCCTTTCGCGTGATTGTCTTCTCGCAAGACTGGTTTTCCAACCCAATCTGTACTTGACGATGGTTGGCGTCCATTTTGGTGAATATATCTGATAGTTCGAAGTCCAGTCCTTCTTTTACCGCCCGGAAATTGTCCTGCATGATCCTCTGGGCATCTTGAATCCTGTTTAGCTGGGCCTTGGTTTCAGAAATCTCAGCTTCCATCGGCTGTAGTGTATAGTGAATGGATTGACTACACTGATTTTCCGTGTCACAGTAGTTGTTCTGAAAGCCGGCCAATAAGCCTAAAAAATTTCCGGCTATAAAGGCCCGCAAAAAAAAGTTTGCGAGTCTCAACATTTTCAAAAATGTTAACCTCTCAAATTGAATGATAATGAAATACTGAGGCCCAGCTTTTTGTCGCAAATATAAAGAAACATTTAATATTGCTGATAGCTGGACCTCTACGTTCTACATATATTCCGATTTACTGAAGTGACTTATCAGAAAGTCAACTTGAGTTCATCGCACACATAAAAGTATTTCGGGTTTCAATTAATGGATTTTTGGGGTCTTCCAAGAATTCGTTATTTTTTCGTTATTTCCAAATTTTTTGTTATTTCCAATGGGGTTTAGAACGATACCCCAAAACTGGACTTCCAGATTCCATAACTTTAGTAATTGGATCCCGGTTTGGACGTGGGATACCTCTATGAGTTTTTGGTTGAATTCTCTAATAATCTACATTTAAATATTTATCCTAAAGGATGGTCCAAGTTTTAACCCATTTTCATGTTCGATTTATCGTTAATTCAAACGGGGTTTAGAACGATACCCCAAAACTGGACTTCCAGATTCCATAACTTTAGTAATTGGATCCCGATTTAGACGTGGGATACCTGTATGAGTTTGTGGTTGAATTCTCTAACAATCTACGTTTAAATATTTCTCCCATTGGATGGTCCAAGTTTTAGCCCATTTTCATGTTCGATTTTTCGTTATTTCCGATGGGTTTTAGAACGATACCCAAAATCTCCACGTCCAGATTCCATAACTTAATTAATTGGATCCCGATTTGGACGTGGGATACCTCAATGAGTTTGTGGTTGAGTTCTCTAATAATCTACATTTAAATATTTATCTTATAAGATGGTCCAAATTTTAACTCATTTTCATGTTCGATTTTTCGTTATTTCCGATGGGTTTTAGAACTATACCCAAAATCTCCACTTTCAGATTTTATAACTTTAGTAATTAGACCCCGATTTGGTCGTGGGATACCTCTATGAGTTTGTGGTTGAATTCTCTAATAATCTACATTTAAATATTTCTCTTATAAGATGGTCCAAATTTTAACTCATTTTCATGTTCGATTTTTCGCTATTTCCAATGGGTTTTAGAACGGTACCCCAAAAACTGGACTTCCAGATTCCATAACTTTAGTAATTTGATCCCGATTTGGGCGGGGGATACCTCTATGAGTTTGTGGTTGAATTCTCTAACAATCTACATTTAAATATTTCTCCCATTGGATGGTTCAAGTTTTAACCCATTTTCATGTTCGATTTTTGATTATTTCCAATGGGTTTTAGAACGATACCCAAAATCTCCACTTCCAGATTCCATAACTTTAGTAATTTGATCCCGATTTGGGCGTGGGATACCTCTATGAGTTTGTGGTTGAATTCTCTAATAATCTACATTTAAATATTTCTCTTATAAGATGGTCCAAATTTTAACTCATTTTCATGTTCGATTTTTCGTTATTTCCAATGGGGTTTAGAACGATACCCCAAAACTGGACTTCCAGATTCCATAACTTTAGTAATTGCATCCCGATTTGGGCGTGGGATACCTCTAAGAGTTTGTGGTTGAATTCTCTAATAATCTACTTTTAAATATTTATCCTATAGGATGGTCCAAGTTTTAACCCATTTTCATGTTCGATTTATCGTTAATTCAAACGGGGTTTAGAACGATACCCCAAAACTGGACTTCCAGATTCCATAACTTTAGTAATTGGATCCCGATTTAGACGTGGGATACCTGTATGAGTTTGTGGTTGAATTCTCTAACAATCTACGTTTAAATATTTATCCTATAGGATGGTCCAAGTTTTAACCCATTTTCATGTTCGATTTATCGTTAATTCAAACGGGGTTTAGAACGATACCCCAAAACTGGACTTCCAGATTCCATAACTTTAGTAATTGGATCCCGATTTAGACGTGGGATACCTGTATGAGTTTGTGGTTGAATTCTCTAACAATCTACGTTTAAATATTTCTCCCATTGGATGGTCCAAGTTTTAGCCCATTTTCATGTTCGATTTTTCGTTATTTCCGATGGGTTTTAGAACGATACCCAAAATCTCCACGTCCAGATTCCATAACTTAATTAATTGGATCCCGATTTGGACGTGGGATACCTCAATGAGTTTGTGGTTGAGTTCTCTAATAATCTACATTTAAATATTTATCTTATAAGATGGTCCAAATTTTAACTCATTTTCATGTTCGATTTTTCGTTATTTCCGATGGGTTTTAGAACTATACCCAAAATCTCCACTTTCAGATTTTATAACTTTAGTAATTAGACCCCGATTTGGTCGTGGGATACCTCTATGAGTTTGTGGTTGAATTCTCTAATAATCTACATTTAAATTTTTCTCTTATAAGATGGTCCAAATTTTAACTCATTTTCATGTTCGATTTTTCGTTATTTCCAATGGGTTTTAGAACGGTACCCCAAAAACTGGACTTCCAGATTCCATAACTTTAGTAATTTGATCCCGATTTGGGCGTGGGATACCTCTATGAGTTTGTGGTTGAATTCTCTAATAATCTACATTTAAATATTTATCCTATAGGATGGTCCAAGTTTTAACCCATTTTCATGTTCGATTTATCGTTAATTCAAACGGGGTTTAGAACGATACCCCAAAACTGGACTTTCAGATTCCATAACTTTAGTAATTGGATCCCGATTTAGACGTGGGATACCTGTATGAGTTTGTGGTTGAATTCTCTAACAATCTACGTTTAAATATTTCTCCCATTGGATGGTCCAAGTTGTAGCCCATTTTCATGTTCGATTTTTCGTTATTTCCGATGGGTTTTAGAACGATACCCAAAATCTCCACGTCCAGATTCCATAACTTTAGTAATTTGATCCCGATTTGGGCGTGGGATACCTCTATGAGTTTGTGGTTGAATTCTCTAATAATCTACATTTAAATATTTCTCTTATAAGATGGTCCAAATTTTAACTCATTTTCATGTTCGATTTTTCGTTATTTCCAATGGGGTTTAGAACGATACCCCAAAACTGGACTTCCAGATTCCATAACTTTAGTAATTGCATCCCGATTTGGGCGTGGGATACCTCTATGAGTTTGTGGTTGAATTCTCTAATAATCTACATTTAAATATTTATCCTATAGGATGGTCCAAGTTTTAACCCATTTTCATGTTCGATTTATCGTTAATTCAAACGGGGTTTAGAACGATACCCCAAAACTGGACTTCCAGATTCCATAACTTTAGTAATTGGATCCCGATTTAGACGTGGGATACCTGTATGAGTTTGTGGTTGAATTCTCTAATAATCTACATTTAAATATTTCTCCCATTGGATGGTTCAAGTTTTAACCCATTTTCATGTTCGATTTTTGATTATTTCCAATGGGTTTTAGAACGATACCCAAAATCTCCACTTCCAGATTCCATAACTTTAGTAATTTGATCCCGATTTGGGCGTGGGATACCTCTATGAGTTTGTGGTTGAATTCTCTAATAATCTACATTTAAATATTTCTCTTATAAGATGGTCCAAATTTTAACTCATTTTCATGTTCGATTTTTCGTTATTTCCAATGGGTTTTAGAACGGTACCCCAAAAACTGGACTTCCAGATTCCATAACTTTAGTAATTTGATCCCGATTTGGGCGTGGGATACCTCTATGAGTTTGTGGTTGAATTCTCTAATAATCTACATTTAAATATTTATCCTATAGGATGGTCCAAGTTTTAACCCATTTTCATGTTCGATTTATCGTTAATTCAAACGGGGTTTAGAACGATACCCCAAAACTGGACTTCCAGATTCCATAACTTTAGTAATTGGATCCCGATTTAGACGTGGGATACCTGTATGAGTTTGTGGTTGAATTCTCTAACAATCTACGTTTAAATATTTCTCCCATTGGATGGTCCAAGTTGTAGCCCATTTTCATGTTCGATTTTTCGTTATTTCCGATGGGTTTTAGAACGATACCCAAAATCTCCACGTCCAGATTCCATAACTTTAGTAATTAGACCCCGATTTGGTCGTGGGATACCTCTATGAGTTTGTGGTTGAATTCTCTAATAATCTACATTTAAATTTTTCTCTTATAAGATGGTCCAAATTTTAACTCATTTTCATGTTCGATTTTTCGTTATTTCCAATGGGTTTTAGAACGGTACCCCAAAAACTGGACTTCCAGATTCCATAACTTTAGTAATTTGATCCCGATTTGGGCGTGGGATACCTCTATGAGTTTGTGGTTGAATTCTCTAATAATCTACATTTAAATATTTATCCTATAGGATGGTCCAAGTTTTAACCCATTTTCATGTTCGATTTATCGTTAATTCAAACGGGGTTTAGAACGATACCCCAAAACTGGACTTCCAGATTCCATAACTTTAGTAATTGGATCCCGATTTAGACGTGGGATACCTGTATGAGTTTGTGGTTGAATTCTCTAACAATCTACGTTTAAATATTTCTCCCATTGGATGGTCCAAGTTGTAGCCCATTTTCATGTTCGATTTTTCGTTATTTCCGATGGGTTTTAGAACGATACCCAAAATCTCCACGTCCAGATTCCATAACTTTAGTAATTAGACCCCGATTTGGTCGTGGGATACCTCTATGAGTTTGTGGTTGAATTCTCTAATAATCTACATTTAAATTTTTCTCTTATAAGATGGTCCAAATTTTAACTCATTTTCATGTTCGATTTTTCGTTATTTCCAATGGGTTTTAGAACGGTACCCCAAAAACTGGACTTCCAGATTCCATAACTTTAGTAATTTGATCCCGATTTGGGCGTGGGATACCTCTATGAGTTTGTGGTTGAATTCTCTAATAATCTACATTTAAATATTTATCCTATAGGATGGTCCAAGTTTTAACCCATTTTCATGTTCGATTTATCGTTAATTCAAACGGGGTTTAG